AGGAAACAGGGAGACTTGAATGATACCTTATCGGTTCGCCTAAATCACACACGCCAAAACCGATCAAATTCAAGGTACATTTTTGAAAAAATGAGGTGTTCTTAACTGATCCAACTAATATAGCTAGGAAGTAGGTGCCATAGAAAAGGTAACTACAGAAAAAAACTTTGCGGCCCGACCTTTGCGAGAACTTTATAACTCTGTGAACTTACCTAATTTTCGGCAATCTCCAAGTTTGGCCGCCATTTTGAGGGACTTGTTTACATGAAGCGTAACCGATATAAGTCAAGCAGGTAGATCTAAAACCGTCAGAAATACGTACGAAAGCAATTCAAATGAACTTTACTTTCAATTCAAGCGGCAAAATTTGAAATTGTTCGTTAAACTTACCATCCCCATGCGACCATTTATCCCAACAATTCAAACACTACAACTTTCTGAATTCCCCTCGTCGATTCCACCGCAAGAAATAACCTGTGCCACCCAAGCTTCGACTCGAATGTGAAGTACGAATCAAATAACATAGCTGCTTCATCTTCGCGGCAATATCACGCTGGTATTTTGATCTTCCAATCGACAAGAACGGTGATCAAGAATCGATCGGTTTGTTTACCTCATAAACGTGACCGCTGACCAGCTGCTGAGGGGAAACAGTACGGTTCAGTGGCGAGGGGCGGGGTGAGGGGTGGGTGCGGGCAGATTATCAGAAGATTTTTGGGAACATTCGAACATATGCATTAAAGTATCATGATAAACATTAGGATTCTCAGTCTTAATGCGAAGGCATGCTTCGTGTTGCAGACAACTTTTATTTTACTCAGTATTCTTTTTTATTTAAAATACATTTCGTTCCAAATAGGACTAGCATCAGTTCATAGATTTAAAAACAAATCTTTACCACGTGATTAAATGTGTTTAGATAATCGAGATAACCATTGAACCTATTGTATCGCACCGGAAATAACGTGTCTTGTCTTTGCCCAACTCTGAGAGCGTGGAGCGGCAAAGACGCGAGATACGAGTCTCGCGTCTCGCGGCTTCTCCATGCTCACAGGATACGCGTGGCCTCACTATCTTTAAGAAAAGTAAGAGACTGCTCGAAGTCTGTATTCCGTTCAACCATTTCATAAGAGTGACGCGAGTCTTTCAATTGAGTGAGAAAGTCACAAACCCATTCTTTACCTCACGAGCGTAACCACTGACCACTCACGAATTACAATAGGCTTCTCCTTTGACGCGGAAATTGAAATTGTATCGAATATACAAAGTTATAGTGAGTTCCTTTAGATCTCCCGAACTTGTATCGTGTTGGAAACAATTACAAGTACAGGAAGAAGTCGTTCATTAGCGAGACGTTCATTATGTCTCAGGACTGCTTTTTGAATAGCAAAGATGGAAAAAACTTTGGTTCATCGAGTGGCTTAAGTGATTTGGTACGACTGTCTGAATGCAATGACGAAGTAAAACATCATTTGATAAGCTACCACCTGTCTAAAGAGGTTTTTAAGTGAAAATGAGCTAATATTGGCAAAGATTGGCCTATTTCACCTCGCTCAGGAGGATAAACAAAAAAATGTGGATTTGCCATAGGCATCGCCACACTCTGGGGAAGTTTTGGAGAAGTACAAAGGTAACATGTCAGTATCCTGATCATGATGGTGTCAGGAAGCGTATCCAAGGCAGAGATGTAATTACCTTGCATATGTCTCAGGACATTCAAAAGCTGTTTGGAGTTATTATTCTAGTGGAATCAGGTAGTCTTCAGTAACATTTTCTGTTATCTATTTTTGTCACGTGACATATCTGCTCGAAAAGAGAAGAAATTCTTTATCAGACGAAGGGTACTTAAGTACACATCACGTTGAAAAAAAATAGATCTATGTGTAAGTGCTTTTAATTACAGATGGAAGTATGTACAATGTTGCTCGGTTGATAATCAATAATGTTTTTGTGGAAGATCAAATCACCTGACATCGCAATAAACCTACTCATGCGTACGGTTCACAATTATTTGCGGTCAGTTTTCCTAAGTTTGTATGATTCTCATTAACCAGTATGATTAAATTTGCAGACTAAAAGACCCCTTATTTGATTCAGAATAATAAAAGTAAACCGTGCATGTCGGTTTTTAATTCCTGATGGATGCTACTGGGCTTTACTTTAATTGAGAAATTTGCAATCGCTTACCTCAGCTCTCTGTGTCCCACGCCGTAAGAAGCACAAGAAAAAAGTTGATGATAGTGAGTCTTGGCTGAGACAAGAAGAATCAGAGAAGAATCTACGGTCCCCAGAAACGCCACTTTTAAACACGAGACAACTAAGGTAAATTGGATTAAGTGTTATTTGTTTTATTTAAAACTATCGTTCAGATTATAAGATACGCAAAAAACTCTCCCCAACGATTTTTTCTTACATTCTGTTAATCAAAAGTTTCAATAATTATGAAGGCTTCCTTGTTGATTGTCTTAATAGTAACAGTTTCCAGGATCCAAGGGGAGCAAAAGAGAGAACAATTTTCTGTGTAGTTAGGTAAGGTGACATGCCGGCTTTATACTTCTTCCGGCGTGATAACGATCATGATGATGACAACAATAGGCAAAAAGCACCGTCCGCTAATGATGACGATTATCATAGTTATTAAGAAATCTCAGTCATAGTCCTGAAAAAATCTCAGGGGGTCCTTTGAACCATCCACTTAATCTCGCCAGAAGTCAAAGTTGCCTACACTCATTCTAAGGTTTGTGCGATTTTACGACGAATTTTCAATTCCGGTGTGTTGCATGCGCGACTTTTGATAGAAAAAACCTGCCCACGCCATAACTTAAAAGAACGTGTCAGCGGAATGAATCAAATCTCTATCACTTTGCATACATTCTTGGGAACAGAAAAAAAATTACTTAGAGCAAACAATTTAAGTATAGTGTTCATTCCGTGCAATGGGGCATAAATAAAAGATTCCGGTGGAAAAGACACCTTATTTCATACCACTGATGACAAGCAAAAAGGTTATATGGGTACCCGGTAAAAAATATATTGATAACTCTATTAATTAATACCAGTTCTAATTTAAAGGAGAAAGTTATAAGAATAAAATAAAAGTTTGCACCACGAAGCATGCATTCACTGTTTAGACTGATAGTCCTAGAGCTTTTTGAGCATGTATTCGAATATATTATGACGATAAGCCCGCCACCCACCCCACCCCGCGCTATGCTGTTTTCACTTAGCGGTTGGTCAGCGGTCACGTTTATGAGGTAAACAAACCGATCGATTCCTGATCACCGTTCTTGTCGATCGGAAAATCAAAATATCAGCTTGATATTGCCGCGAAGATGAAGCAGTTATGTTACTTGATTCGTACTTTACATTCGAGTCGAAGCTTGGGTGGCACAGGTTATTTCTTGCGGTGGAATCGACGAGGGGAATTCGAACACTAGTTGTAGTGTTTGAATTGTTGAAAGAAATGGTCGCATGAGGTTTGTAAGTTGAACGAATTTCAAATTTTGCCGCTTGAATTGAAAGTAAAGTTCATTTGAATTGCTTTCGTATGTATTTCTGACGGTTTTAGATCTACCTGCTTGATTTATATCAGTTACGCTTCATGTTGACAAGTCCCTCAAAATGGCGGCCAAACTTGGAGATTGCCGAAAATTAGGTAAGTTCACAGAGTTATAAAGTTCTCGTAAAGGTCGGGCCGCAAAGTTTTTTTCTGTAGTTACCTTTTCTATGGCACCTACTTCCTAGCTATTTTAGTTACATCAGTTAAGAACGCCTCACTTTTTCAAAAATGTACCTTGAATTTGATCGGTTTTGGCGTGTGTGATTTAGGCGAACCGATAAGGTGTCATTCAAGTCTTCCTGTTTCCTTGATTGACACGTGATGTTTACGAAAGTCGCCTCGATAGATAAGATAGAGTTAATATACATGGCTGTGGTATTTGTTTTTTGCTGAGTTCCGTAGTTTTTTGTAAATTGTCCTCCAAAGTTGTATGAAATTAAAGTCTTGAAAAGTGTCACGACAAGCCTCCGGTCGAGTGAAATTTAATTTCCGTAAAACTCTGAAAAATAAAGAGATCCGATCAAACTGATTGTGGTTTTAGTATAGGTAAATGAATGTCTTACAACACACGAGAAACGAGCAAAATCCGTGTCTCAAGCAAAATCGACCGGACCGCTCTTACAGAGACACTCTTGAACTCTAATCATGCTACATCTGTGACTTGTGCAAAACGTCTTTACCCAGAAATTCGCTAATTCGCCGAAATTGTAATCAATTTTTGTAACCAAAAATAATTTTGTTATCTTCATCATAGAGTCGTTTAGTTTCAAAGCCTGGCGCCTGCTATCTATCATTCATCGATAAAGTAATCTTAGATGAAGCTATGCTTGCATAGCATTAATTCAAATAGTGTATATTTGCCCTCTGTTGTCAATGTGTATATAAATACAAAGAAACTGTTTTTCTATAACATCACGTTCTACTGAACTGATTCAAACATGGCTCAGAATAACAGCATTGAAAATCCCCTCAGCCTGCGAGCTAAAGTTTGTATCGCTGCTTCTAATGATTTGCAAATATCTTACACCATTGTCCTTTTGGTTATTAATGTTTTGCTGTCATTATTGCATCTCTGGGAAATATCTTAACATTTTTTGCCCTTCACAAAGAATGTGCGCTTCATCCGCCCTCGAAGCTTCTGTTTCGATGTTTGGCCTTAACTGATCTGCTTGTTGGTTGTATTTCACAGCCTCTGTATATCCTATATTTGGCGTCACTTTTGACTAAACATCAAGATTGGCGAGGAGATCTTTGCTTTTACTTTGCAACCTTTAGCATCATCACCTCAAATATTTTGTGCTTGGTGTCGTTATTAACTTCAACTGCGATAAGCATAGACAGACTTCTAGCTCTTAATTTAGGTTTACGATACAGACATGTCGTAACCTTTAAACGAACTTTACTTGTTCTTTTATTCCTCTGGGCGGTATCCATCGGGTTTATGTCTTCCTCATATCCTTTGTTGGACTACACGAAAGCTGAGATGTATGCAGCAGCGGCACTATGCGTTGGCAATCTTGGAAAATCTTCTTTCTGCTACGCCAAAATCATTTGGAAGATTCGTCAACATCAGCGACGCGTGCAAACAAATGGGGGAGTTAATAATCACGGAACTCTTTGTACAGACAGCATGACTTTGAATAATGAACGGTACAAGAAAACAATTTCTAGTGTGCTTTGGATTCAGTTGACACTGACTATTTGCTACCTGCCGTTCATCGTAACTATTGGCTTAGTTTCCTACAAAGGGTTTACATCGGCGCTCGTCACCGCGTGGGGAATAGCAGTAACTTTGGTGTTTTTTAATTCATCTTTAAACCCCTTTCTTTACTGTTGGAAGATTAAGGAGATAAGAGTAGCAGTTAAAGGCATAGTAAGTCGGTTATTTCCCTTTTAAAGGGAGCTTTAGGGTCAGAGTATTTATACACTACTTTAATAAACATCTGCAACGAACGGGTGCACATGAAGAGAACTTTACAAAATCTTGTTTTAAATTCTCATATAATCCACTCGATCAGCAACAATGCTCAGTTGTTGTTGGTGTTGTTTTTGTAACGCTTATTTTGAACCGAGACGTGGAGACTGGTAGCGAATATTAATTTCGTTGCGTTCATCATCGTGACAGCGAAAGAAAGAATCTGTGACCTTAGAGAATGCAATTGATGATTAAAGGTTAAAAGGTTTTTATGATCAATGGAACAGAGTTTGTATGGCCTTGCCGTGTTCATGCATAAATTCAAAATTCTAAATCGAATGGGTTTCATCCTCAATATCCTTGAGGCCAAAAGTGTAAGCAATGGGAAACTCGTTTAGCTCTAACATAAACATCGGAAAAGGTGATTAGAATTAGATTAATAACAGTGCGTCAGAGATATTTTTGTTTGACAAAGCACCTGCTGAAAAAAAATATTTTTGGCATTTTTCTTTTTTCGAAAGTAAAAATTTTGTTTCGACGCTTACGGTGTCATGACATCACCATATACTATTTGCATCCGAAGACGAGAGTGGAAGATTACTGTTCGGGCTTGAACGGGATTGGTGGCTCTGCCTCCCAGATTCTTGTTCGGCGCTACTACAAACTGAGCAAATGTGTTACTGAGGGCCAATATGCGAAAACACAACAACAGTGATAACAACAATAATTACACTACCAACAACAAAAAAAACCTTTGACACTCTTTCCTATGAACTGAACAACTACATAAAATTGATAAAAAAAATTATGTAATTATTCTTATTATAAGGAAGATGTAGTATTACTTAGGGATACTGATACTAACGAAATTTGTCATTCGTGCAGTAAATAATTGTTTGCTAGCAAGAGATTGCAATATCTTTTTTGTTAAGCTATAACTGAAGAAAAAAAATTAAATGAAAATTTATGAAAAAAATTTAAATAAACAAAATCGGCAATTCTGAAGTAGAGAAAGTTAGCATCGATCCTAAATTTATACTTTGGAAAGTATATTTTGAACAAAATGCACATTACATAAAGTCAAAGTTACCAAAATCAAATATCACTCAGCTGATAAAAATCGATTTCCACGAAAACGTAATGTACCGTAGGGCGTTTTAAAAAGGTTCATTTTCGTTTCCATCTAATATATTTTATCCCAGTTTAATAGAGGTGATCCTCCTTTTGTTTTATATTGATTTTTTTCCTTTTACATCTAATTAGCTGAACTTTAAACTTTCTTTAATAGAAGCTTGTTTTCATTGCAAGTGTTACTAAAAAGCCGCAATATTAAATTCATTAAAATTGCAAAGAGATTTCTGGTCTTAATCGCACTGAAGAAGGCTTCCTGCCTTCGCCCATCATCAAGACGTTAGGGACCTAAATTAGCAAACCACAAGGGCGGCGGCAACGTGGACGTGGCAAAACAAAATATCTAAATGGTAGAGCAAAAGCTTTGCATGTGCGGTAAACACATCCAGCGATTCGCGAAATTCTCTCTAAAAACATCATTCGTTTTTTTCTCCCATAGCGTTTCCGTCTTAACTGCTAAAGGTCCCTTATTATTTCACCGGTTGCCAATCACTGGAGAGGAGTCAGTTGCGTGTTACGACTTGTACTCACATTAGAGGAAAAATGTTTTTCAAAATCTGAAACCTCTTAACGACAAATTGACTCCTTTATTTGAACCACTAATTACCTTCAAGACTTCAAAAATGGATTGCACTTTAACATCTACAAATTCAGCTAAAGTCACTTCTAGTCATGATCCAGTTACTAGTAACCAATGCAACATCGCTGGTGCTAAATATGGTTAATCAAGTACAAAGTAGGCAACGTTTTAACGCTTCTTACACCAAGAATTCTGTGACCCTAATACATCGAATAATCATAATATTATAGAGCACTGAAATTTACCTTTGTTACCCAAATACGGCTATGGACCACTGTTAAACATATACCCAGACGGCGGGTTTATTTTTTACGATACTCTAAGTCAAATGTAGGAAAAAGCAAAGCCAAAACAAAAGCAAAAACGGGAAAGAAGCAATCTGAAAAGAACACAGAGGCACGTTTGGTTTTCACTCTCCTTACCTATATGATTAAATTAAAATTAGGAATTGATCAAGAATCCAACATGGCAGTCGGAGTTCATAATCATTCGACATAGAATATACTTTCTAATAAAAATAGAAAAGCAAACAAAAATCAAAGAAAAAATCAAGGTGTAGTTGAGTAATAGAATCTGAAAAAATTCAAGTTGGAGCAATTCAAATTACCTAAACATGATGCTCTTTAATGCAGCTCATCTACAATAGTTTTTATTTGACTGTACGCGTGGCATATAAACCCTTTGTATGATAATGAACAAAAACCGCGGCATCTTTTTTTTTGGGTACTGAATAAACGGCGGTTGTTGGTTTTTGAGCCCTCGTTTGTTGTACGAGCAAAGTTTTTATTACTTGTATAAAGAAAACGAAAAAAAAAGAAAACGACTCCACAGCAATATCCACCAGAAAGCTGAAAGCTAGTGCCTATATGTTTGTTGTTTTGTTTATCTTCTTGTTTGTTTGTTATTTCCTTGGGCTTCTTCACCAAAGTCTGCAGATTTTGCGCTTCACTAAAAAAAGACCTCGCTAAGCATGCGTAAAATGTAGTATCAAAAACACAAGATGTACGTAATGAGCACTAACAGAAGCATTTAAATCACAGTTGATATCCCGTTAAAGTTGTGTTCTAAGTACGATGTTTCATTGATCTGGCTGTTACCACCTCTTCTTCCTAACCAGCATTCACAGGCTGAAGTATCTTCTCGTCTTCCTTTGCCTTTTTGGCTTCTTCTGCGCTTACTTGGAACAGACGGAGCGACGCTTCCAGGAGGTTAGTAAACGACTTGCGTTTTGTGTTATGCAATTGCTCGATACTCTTGCCTAAAAATAAAGAAAATTTGTATGTCACTTCCTTAAAAATGCATCTATGATTCAGTGCACACCGTGACACATCAATAATCATTAAACGAATAGAATCCATGTTGTCATGTGTTTGTTCAGTTGTAGATCTCAGATGACGTCGATTGTAGTAAAATGTGTTTGGAACTAAATATTTGATGGCTTGAAAGCCCAATCAAAGAATGGAGAGCTGAAGGCAGGGGACTAAGTAATGCTAATAATTAATAACTGGTTTCTGACCAGCCTTGTAATCTGCAAGGTCTTACCTTTTAGTCGACTCATTATTCTGTTTTCCCTCTGGGACGCCTCATACTCAACTCGTACGCCTCCTGGTTGTTGAGAGAGATTGGTCACCGCTGTGGCTTGGACTCCTCCGCTACCCATCAGCGATTCTCGTCGCCATGCGTAGTTCCTGGTCCTCTTTTGCCTGTCATCCCAGATTTTATCGATGAAACCGTGATGAAGGAAGAACTCCGGAGCAGATGCAGACTCACTTGAGCACATGGTACCTCCAATCAGACAATGTACTTGGTCGTGGAGGTTAACCCTGAGTTCTCTTTCAAAGATCACGAAATTATTCTGAAGAATAACTTCTCGCACTGCGGCTGCGTCGGGAGGAATACCCCTAAATTCGCGGTTTAAGCACTTCTGTCCAGTAGGTGTCACGGCAGACCAAACACCCTGTCTGAAAGGTCCATCCTGCACACAGCCTCTCCGGCCATTCCCACCGAACCCAGAGTCACCACTGTGCCAAAGTTCCTGCTCGTTTGATGCGTCCCATGGGTTGGAATCAAGACTCCAATCCCAGAAGGCAACAGTAACCTTACAATCGACCCTCCGAAGAAGATTTTCGTATTGGAGTATGAACCAGCGGTGCCAAGGAAGAAACTGCTGTGCTTCATGGATTATCTCGAAAAAAAGCCTTTCATGCATATTGATCAGGTTTTCGTAATCTCTTCTAAATCGCTGGTCAGTTGAGGCTCTTTTTATAGCGCTTATATAGCGCCTACGTTCTTCCAATGACATGGCTGTGAATTCTTTCCTTATTCGGATGCAGTTGATCAATCTGCCGAAGTGACACTTACATTTTTCACCACAATTGTTATAAGTGGTACTTCCATGTCTGCAAGCTAATAACCGAACAAAACCGAATAAATATATACGAGCAGATATCTACATCGATAAAATTTTGTCAGAGCCTGTTTTGCGTGGTACTCAAAAACAACATCGAAACCAGAGATAAAAACTAAGGAAAAAAACAGCAACAAAAATATTGATAAGCGGAAGAAACGAAGAGAGAAAAAGAAAAAGATGTATTTAATGAAAATATTTTCAATTTATTGCCTAGAATAAAATGCATACAGTCGAACTATCCACAATGAGAGAGAGGAAACTAACTGAAATATCCGAACGACCAGCAAGACTTATCATAATGGCTAACAAATATTCAACACAGCTCATTTATATCCTTAATGAAAGAAACCAAACATTGAGTTAATGGCAATGTGATAATGATTCTATGGTAGTCTGCAGTGATAAGTTTAAATTCTTGTGACAGTTTTGACAGCCTTTTAAAGAGACAAGAAAAAACACAACATAGGCTACTTCTCATAAAATGTTCTTTAGAGTCGCATATCACTGTAACTTTTGCAGGCAGACGAAAAGACGAAGAGCCAAGCGAAAACCTGATTTGACAACAACATCAGTGCCACGCTAATTTCTGTCTTCATTATGGGGTGCTGCCTAACTTAGCTTAGAAGATAGATATCGATTTCTTACCGGAACATGTATTTATGTTGCAAGGTCTTGAATGGTCACCGATTCCTTGGCAGGCAGACCCGCCATTGCTCGGAGGCGGATTGGTGCACGTCCGTGATCGGGATTGCTTTCCTCCGCCGCAAGTCTTACTGCAGCTGCTCCATTTACCCCATTCTGACCAACTGCCGTCGACTTTAACTGAAAAGGGGGAAAACGTGGATTATTGAATTTATCCAATTTAGAATAACTGGGCTCTTAATAGATCTACCCCTCCCTCCCCTAAACCAACATTAACCCTTAATTGTTATCAGTTGAATGTTGTTGGGTCGGGGGAGGGGGGAGTGCGTAGTTGCTCAGATACGGTTATTAATCTCTTTCCTTGCTGTTAAAAGCAGCCGGCTTCTACTTGGGCAACATCCGGACATGTTGTTCGGATATGAATTGTTGTTCTTCCTCTCCAAACTCCAAATCAGAAAAATGCGTCAAGCCTAACAAAGGGAAACCTTTTCCCTGATTAAGGATTTAAGGTTTCTGTTCCTTCAGCAAAATTTAGTAATAGGATTAAATCAGGACAAACTAGAACTAAAAACAGGGTAACCATTAAAAACAGGGTAACCACTAAAAACAGGGTCACCACTAAAAACAGGGTCACCACTAAAAACAGGGTCACCACTAAAAACAGGGTAACCACTAAAAACAGGGTAACCACTAAAAACAGGGCCCCACTGCAAACCACCTCGGCATGTTGGGTTCCTTCTTTTAATGTTATTTTGATTATTATTGTCATTATTGTTCTTGTTTTTATTATTATCATATAGTCTGACGTTGTTATTGTCGTTTTCATCGTTGTTGCTTTGTTTTGCTTTGTTTTGTTTTGTTTCGTTTGTTCCTTTTTTTTCTTTTGTGGATAAAATATTGAAAGTGCAATTACTTTCTAACCTACCTGAACACTTATTGCAACGCATGGGGCAGGCGTTTTGAAACCATGGTTGATAACATTTAGAATAGTATGCGCAATACCAAAATCTATTCCGACAGCCTAAAGAAAAAATAAAACAGTTAAAATTACAACCTAACTAGAGATTATTCAAATGTTTCAACTCGTTTCCTCAAAGCATTACCAATTCCTTCTATGAGAAAATTAGACATATTTCGTTCAACAAGTAACTTCTCAATGAAAGCAAAACAAAATCGATAAACAAGCGAATTTTTAGCTGTGTTAAGTGACGCGCGACAACTGCACAAGTAATTCTAAGCTGCTAATTTACTCCCGACCGGTCTTTCATTAGCTTGATGCTTTTTTTATGTTTAAAACTTCTTTTAAGGTCAACCTAAGCACACACGGCTCCAGGAGGAGCTTTCAAACATTCCAAAGCACCAACATACGTATTTCGTTGTCTAAAACTCGTACCCGTATGTCGTTCATAGGGACCTTTTATTTTTGTTGTTTCAAGATAGTGATTAAGAGACCTAGCTGGAAATATAATTTGTCAGAAATCCTGGGGAAATATAGCAGTGTACTTCCCATTAAATAGTTCCACTGTTTCCTGGTCGGATTGGAAATGAAGTGTTGGTTTCTGGGGAGGAAAAAAACCGGATGACCCGGATAGGAAACCTAGGAGAAAGGACGCGGACCAACGACAAACTCAACCCAAATATGACGCCAAGTCTGAGAATTGAGCCCAGGCCACAGTGATGGGGAGTGAATACTCCCATAACGATGGAATGTAAACTTTTAACATGATACTTGTGACACGTTTATGATATAAGACTACTATAAAACGGAAAGTGCTTTTTGACTCCAGGGAACTAAAGCTGTTCAGGTTTGTCTACTGTAGCCAATTGTAAAATATTTTTCTCAGTATGTTGTATGTACCAGTTACCTATAGTAGGCTGAGATCATTGCAAAACCAGGTAATACCAGTATGTTTGTCCTTCAAAAGTGCAACACTCGTTGAGGAATATCTATCGAGATATCGGTCTACAGAACTACACAGATTTTTGGATATAAGGACTTACCAGTCTGTATGGACTTTGCAGGGGGCAGGAACATCAACAACGTAAACAGCGTATACCACAACAACATCATATTCTTGCTTGAGCTTAAGACTAAAGTAAAGACAAAATAGTTTATGACCAGTCATGTATTTTCGCCTTGAAGGGGAGTGGGGGAGAGGTAAGGGGAGTTGTAGAAATTTTGGGGGGAACACATGGTTTTTAGGGAGAGTGAGGGGGGGACAGTCTTAGCCAACAGAGCATAAAGGAAAGATTACAAAAAAAATTGACTGCCAATTTATTGCCTATCAGGGAAGGGGTCATAAGAATGTTACATAGTCTGATAGAGGATCAGGTGAGTTTTATTGTGATACAGCCAAAATCCTCCGTTACCTCCCCCAATCCCGTTATAATCCTCGAAACAGGAGAAGCGATTCTAAATTCTTTTAACTAATCTACAGGGAAATGTGTAGTAGATACAAGGGAGAATTAACACTTGGATCACGGGAGGTAAATGGTTAACCAAATATAAAACTGATAACCTAACAGAATCAAAGAACAAGAACATTGGATAACAAGTAATGAAGAAAATTTCTCACGAGCAACACATCTGACTTCAGTTATTTGTGTGTGGATCTTCTTGATTCCTTTCCGAGCCAATCATCATCCAGTATCCTTTATGTTGCCATGGTCACTTAAAATTAACCAATCCCGTTATGGGAACTGATAAAATGATTTCAATTAAATTCAGTTGTGCCAATCAGTGCTTCGAAACACTTTTTTTAAAATATAAAAAAAATTACAGTAAAAACATCGTTTTAAAAAATGTTTGTAAACAGATTAACATAATAACATGTTATAAGAAAAATTATGAAACAAATTGTTATAACAAAATTGTAAGAAAAAATTTTATTTGATGAATTGTAAAAAATTGCTGGGGGTGATTGCAATTGTAAATTTGTAACTGAAATGAGACACACAGAAAGTTCATTGATTCCCTTGTAATCAGCTCTGATATCAAGATGCAAAAAAACTAAGATATACACAAAGCGGCTACTGTGTATTTATAAACTAAGTCGGCTTTGAACTTCACGTGCAAACTTTCTTTGAAATTATGCAGAAAAGGTTAATCTCGATTTTCTGTCACCAAACTCGCTTTGAGGGTAAAATCATGCACAGCTAAGACCAAGAGTGTTTCTGACAGGCTGTTCCGTTGCAATAGCAGCCTAAAATTTCGAAGAAATTATGACAACTCGTTTGGAATAAAAAAGAGGGAGCAACTTCAGAATACCCCGCAACTCATTTACATGTCATTAAATAAGAATAGCGTCTATTGTGTTATGCCTCGATCTTCAAAGCCTCCCGACACATGTAAGTGAGGCGGACCAAAGTTGCGGGGTATTCTGAAGTTTAGCCAAGATTGGTGTCTTGAAATAGCGAAATCATTAAATCTACCGCAAGTCTCCCTAAACTGAAAAATCGGAATGCATTTCACCGATATTTTCTCTGTACCAATAGAGAAAATTGTTTAACTAATGTTTGCTTATTAACCATCAATATGTAGCGGTGAGTATTATTCGGTCGCTGCTATTTTAAGAATTAGGCTGTTTGGAATGAATCGCTAATATGGACTAAAATTTTGACTCCGCAACGCGAGTAAGTACAAAATTTTCCCGTGTTTTATATATATATATTAAGTTATTTGTTTTTCCATCCAACATGTAGTGGGTAGTAAAGTTATCGTATCAACTTAATTGAGCTCCAAAAATAACCACTCTAAATTCCCCTCGAGTTTGCAATCTTAAGAACCGCTGGCAAAAATTTTACTAAAGGGATATCCCTTATGATTGTCACTGACTGTCAGGCTTTCAACGATAGTTGATATAAAAAGGATAGCAATTTCGCTGTTATTCCCACGCCCGGCTTTCGGGAGAAGTTTCCAACAGTGACACGACTTCAAACAATTTAAATGTATGTCGGAATGCTAAGGAGATCGAATTGTGTCAAGGATGGGAAGCTTCAATTCCTCTCATACTACTTCGGGAAAATGCAACAAGGAAGATCAAGACTGATATTATTATCGCACTGATGCCATTATGTTTCTGATCAAATTCCCTACAACAGGTAAAATCCACATCGAATTGTTTTTATAAAGGGACTTAAGGCTGTAATCGAAACCCAATTAAAATTAAAACTAAATTAATGAAACTATGATTAATTCACTCACGTTAGCTCTTCACGGTCTCTTTAAGAATGATTAGATCCCCACAAGTAAGATGCTGAAAGGTTCTGACCAGCCGACGCGAGATGTACGTCTTGACTAATGTGAAGGGGAGAAGTCTTCTAAAATCAATCAAACATACACGACCTCCTTTATAGTTGTTTGTCTGCCTTATTAATTGAACGGGCGTAGTTTTTTTTTTTTAATTTCTTTGTCTCCTTGTAGGGGCACTTGGTATCGCATTTATTAAACGAATACAGATTTTATTTCAATGCTCTGTGGTTTGCTGAAATGATTGAGGTCTACTAAAGAATTGTTCGCAACCATCTTTTCGTCACCGTCATCACATCCGCTCTTATTGGAAAAATAAAACTTCTCATCACATATTGTTTGGCCAAGTAAACTGCAAATGACTTGTGATTAATTACTCAGGAGATACATCTACAGAGCCCCTTTAATTTCCCTACTAAACCATATGACTGATACCAGCTGTTCTCGTTTACTCACCGAGAAATGGAAGAGGTACTATTTCGAAAGTGTGAGGAGAAATGTTTTAGTTTTCCTGCCCAAACAATTATGAGAACTACTCAGAAAAAGTATTTATGGACTAAAAGTGCACAATTTCCATTAAAAACAGACAAAGGCCGTTCTTCACATATTTCTACCTGCTGGTCAGTTAACCAAATCGGCCCCTGGATCAGTGAAACGTATATCGCGGAAATAATGCAATGTCATTAGACTGGATTTTAAATTTTAAAATGTAAACTTGCGACCAAACATTGCATGCATTCTTTTCGGTTCATCCTCTTTTTCAGTCACTGCGATGAGCATTGTTTTTAAGCTTTTGCTACAAGCGAATTTCCTCAGCCCTGATGGGCAAGTTCTATGAGTGACATCACTCCTATGCAGATTTCTTGATTTATAATTGGGGCTGCGATGCGTATAAAGTATTTCACATTAGACTTGTCTCTCTGAATAACGTACATGTCTTAGAGCTCTGTTCGTTTAAAGATAAATGTTACGCTTGGAGGCTATGACTTTGTTGGGAGTTTCAGCATTGAATTGGTCCTACACTACATTGGTCCTCAGGTTTTCCAACAAGAAAAATCACTTCAGCCTTCACTACCTCAACCATTCCGAATTTACGAATTTGTCATTCTTGTTTTGCTTCGCCTCCAGCAATTTTCTCTTCGCGAACGTTATTTTTACTTTGAATTTGTATTACTTTCAGTTTTGCGTCGGAATTCCTTTTAAACTCTAACGCTGCGTAAGTCAGACTTAGTTTTTAAATGATTCATGCTTGGGAAACATAATTTGGCTGATGCATCATTCTCGTGATAAGTGTGAAGTATTTTCAGAGTTGAATTCCTATGGCAAAGATGACCTCCTAGAGACAGATCACCATTAGCTGATAAATGGGTGATTGTAAATTATGAGCAGGCGTTTCCAACCGTGACATCTTTCGTGATGCAAATAACAGGACAATTTGGTTTTTTTTGGTTGATTTTAAGTGTGACAGAAATGCTGCAGAAACCTTAGCCGCTAGAATGAAAACCGCCGGACTGTCTTTTATGCATAAACTCTTCCACAAACTGACGTATTTTTTAGTGGCAGCCCATATAAAATAAACCAGTGAAAGAAACACCCGGGGAAACCACCCTTTCAAGTTTGTTGTCCTGAGGGCAAAGAAAGATGTCTCTAAGATTTCTTTCTTCCCACGAAAAATCAATGAATGGAACTCCCTTCCTAAGGATGTTGTAAATACAATGTTCGTAGACATTTAATCAATAGTTTTTACTATTTAACTACACTATTTGTAATTTAGAATCTATAATATTGCACGATTTGAAGCTCTTGGATTTTTGCCATTTTTATTATTATTATTATTATTACTATTATTATTATTATTATTATTATTTTAATAGTAGGTGTGATGTCTTGCAATTTTTCCTACCCAATAACGGATAAATAGATAAAATGGTTGCACTATCGTATCCCTCCAAGCCTTAAAGGGCTCTCGCTTGACTAAAGGGAAAATACATGTGCTATACTCACTTTGGCGGTGTCAAGAGTTAAAGATCTGTTTTTATTGAGATATACTTTCGATTTACATAATAAACCGAATTTTTGAATTTATGTCTTAGTCCTTTCCATTCAAATCTTTCAATTTTATAGGTGATACTTATTCTGGCATTAAATATAGATACTTTATTTAGTCAATCATTGAATTTAAAAATACACTTGCTTGGCGATCACTTTAAAATGCCTTGAACGTGCTCTCTACATATCACGAAGCCCAAATCAAGCGTAGATTAGGAGACAAAAAGTACCTTGTGTAAACGCTCCAAAATTAGCAAACAAAACGTCTAATTACTTTGGACCACAACATTCTTTTCAAACTTTCACGGAAATCGAAGGATTTGTGAACAATTCTACTGATGAGTCTGATAATTTTTTAAAAAATTTCTCTCATCAAGAGAGTCAGTCAAGCAAATAGGTTTACTAATAATACTAAAGAAAGCTCATAAAATGGGAGGATAAGGGAGGAAATTCGTTGTGATAAGGAATTCACTGTTGATAGAAGTCTCTGGTTATAAAGGAGACAGGGGTAAGTGCTAACAATATTGATAACACAACGAGAGAAAACTCTCCGCAATAATAATTTCAATAAAATACACCGCGTGTATTGATCAAATAGAAAGGCGTATAGCAATTTACGAATGACTCTGAGGCAGAAGTTTCCACCGTGACCGTCATTTGTAGAAACTTGCCGTAGGCGTAAGTATTCCAACACTTTGGACCATTGTTTCACCACTGACCATAAATTCCCTCTAATGAAAAATCCTTCAGAATTTTTTCATTAATACTAGCGGTACCTGTAAAAGCAACTCGT